TTTTTTTGCTTAGGATTGTGTTGAGATTTGGACTTGTCCCTTGAAGTTGAGGAGTGTGAACCACTACTCCCTGCCATTGTGATTTTGGAAGGCCCAGTGCGCTCATTTAATGCTATATTGTGTAGGCGGCTGGCACGCCAGGGACCTGGCCAACAATGGACAGGGTGCCCTGAAATCAAATCCCCCATTTTTTTATTTTATTTTTTTAAAAATATGGATATCTGCTTCAAAATTGAGTCGTATCTCAACAATTAATTTATTATTGTTATGAAATTGCCAGTATTATTTTATTGGTGTGATTAATATTATCAGAGCGTATGGGTGTGCAAGTATATATCAAATTTGGATGTCCCAATCAGCCAAATTGAGAACACCTAGCAGGCCAAATAATCATTTACAGGCCTTCAACAGCTTCCCTGCACAGGCGGACGCTGGCCTAGGTGCTCACTATTGTGCTGCTGGATAGGGAGAACTGTGAGGGTTGAGCCAACAACACGAATTAACAAAAGCCTCGAATATGTTGAAAACGAGGTTGTAATGATTCCTCGGGGTATTTTGTGTGAAAAAACCCTTCAATCTGGAATAAGGATTACCTCACACAGTCTATTGAATTAGCACTCAACGTGGCCAGTAAAAAAAAAAAAAAAAAGGCGACCGGACATTATTTGTGGCGCATGCGCCAGCAGCAATCTCCCACCAAGAAAAAGAGATAAGCTCCAACAGCCTTCCCTTAGGGCTAAACCGACGGGGAGGGGTGAAATAACGAGGCGATTACACCTCCACCGCTAAATGGCATTCTTGGGGGAAAGGAGAAACTGCGATATGACTCAGAAGAGAGTGAGAGAGAAAAAGCCTCGCCGTTTAAATGATAAAGTGGCTCAGCGATCATAATGGCAAGGGTGGGGCTGGTGGGGGGGCGAAATGAAATCGAAGCCTCTCTGTGCTTAGGAGCGCTTCCTGGTAATGCGATCCCCAATGGCCAGATGGCAAGGGCAGCGTTGGTAAGAAAAGAACAATTGACTATCTGCAAACCTTAAGGAGAATTCTCCTATTTCGGCCAAGGATTAACGAGAAGCACTGCCTATCTCTCACAAGGCTGAGCCAAAACTGGGGAATGCTGGGGAGGAGTCCCGTGGAGGAGAAGGAACGTTCCGCAAATTAAGCCCAGCCTAGATAAGCAGAGACTGAAGCACCCCCCACTACTGGATGCTCTGAGCAGCTCGTGGGAGAAAATGTTTTATTGCTGCAATTAGCACTATTACTAACAAGTAGCTTCAAGATTAAGTCACAATGCAGACAAAAGCTTAACTTCCTTTTATTACATTGCTCTATATGCAACGAAAGAATTTAGGCAGGGATGTTAACGTGATTAGAAAGTTAAAAAGAAGAAAATAAAACAAACTTGCATATTACAGAATCTGGCATCTGTATGAATTTTAATAAATAACTGGAGACCTCTTCATTGCTCCCTTCTCCAGTATGCCCTTTTAACGTCCTCCAGATAACTTGAGGAGCATGCAATTGTGATTTAGTAACAATGGAAGATAAAGCATCTTTAATTTCAAGAAGCAAAAATGAACTGAATATTTATTTCAAATCCTTGAAAGTCAGTCAGGTCTAATGATTAAGTTTAGAAACCAAGATAATGTGAAGTCAAGTCTTGCATTAGGCATGAAAGTTGGCTGAATAACTTTGTAGTAGTCACTATCTCTCAGCCCACAACTTGAGGCTTAGATGATCAGTCAATTCCTGTTGTAACTGATGGATTAACACTCCATTGATGTTTCACTGATATGAAAAAACAAAACAAAAAACAGAGCCTGCACTTGCAGAAAAATGCTAATTGAGAAAATATTCCAGGTGCTTATAGAGTAGCAGCCAGCCCCATCCACTTCTTTACTAGGAACCAGAGTAAAGGATAAGAATGTATGTAGAAACACTGGCATTTAGGATGGGGGAATAGAAGGAGAATAAGAAAACCTTAGAATAAGCTACGGTTTGAAATACTGGAAGTGAAAGAGAAAAGAATAAAGCAGAGGACTTATAAGCAGACACTGGAAATAGATCTGAACAAACTGCCAGTTTTTCTGTCTCCCTAAAGGGGATGAAGAGCCATATGTCATAGACATAATGATGTAGCACTGGAAATGGCAAAGAGTTTAAAATGCAAACTTTTTAAATGTGATGCTTTCCATTTTCAAGAACTTCTTTTAGAAAGATATCAAAAACAATGTGGTTAAAAAAAAGAAAATTGTATTAAAACTACTAACAAGGGATAAAGGAATAGGTAGAAATAGGGAATGGAGAATGGCAGGTAATGAGATTAAGAGACTGTAGGCTGCCTGAAATACATATATAGGCATTCAAGAAATGACATAAGTAAGTGGGGGGTAGGAGGCAATCTTAGATAGTTCCCATCACAAAATGCTGTTACAGAAAATCTTAAAAGTGTTTGCTGTCACAATTGCCTGATCTATTTTAAAAGGGGGAAGGAAAACTTGTTTGACCTTTTCTTCTGTTTGAGAACTGAAATATCTATAATAGAAAGCCTGGATCACACAATTTCTTAATAAAATATTTGTTTGATTTAACTAAAGAGGAAGATTTATTTTGTACATATGGAGATAAAAGGTAACTATTGACATTTAACACATAATAAGATAATAAAGGTTAAACACTAACAGGATAATGATAGCAATCATATATTATCATGGGAAAATCATTTTTATAGATAAATGAAGTAATTCCCCTCTATACATGCTAATGTAATAAAATAAAGAGGAATCACAAAAATATTTTCACATTAACAGGCAGCCTTAAAATGAAAACATAAGAATGATGCAAAAACTCAAATGAAAAATCTCCTTAACATGGAAAATTGTTAAGCTGATTGAGTAACTTAAAAGATACAATGAAAAAGCGATGGGAATGCTGGTGGTATTGATGAAAAATGATCCCTGAAAATATAGGAACACAGAAATAATTCAGTAATGTGGGATTAACTGACAATACATTATACAGACTGAAGGATCGTCTCAGGAAGTGTTAATCGAGCCCTCAGTTACACAGAGTGAATTTTCTATATCCGTACTACTTCTGTATAAAACGGTGCATACCAACAGAAGAATGTCAACTGACAAAAATACATGAGTGTCTATCATTTTATAATCTAACATAAAATTCCCATGTGGATAAACACAAGGGCAATACTTTTTGTAAAGAAATAGTTCACATGGAAACTAATGAAATTAAAATCCTTAAATTGAATTACTGTATTACTTAGCTTGAAGTGAATACTGTTGCTTACTTTTTAAACATGTTTGGGTTGCACTATTATTATAATACTACTAGATAGTTAGCTATCCTAAAATAATAGATCACAAGAAATTTTATGTAACTAATAGAATAGAATACTTTTTTATTGGCCGAGTGTGATTGGACAACAGTATACATAAAGAAAAGATACATTCATTAAGAATCAAGAATCATAATACAATATTTAATGATAGTCATAGGGCACAATCAACAATCAAATCATACTAGGAAACAGTCAATATAAATCATAAGGATACAAGACAAAGTTACAGTCCTACAATCACAAGTGAGAGGGAATGGGTGATAAGGAGTGATGAGAAGATTAACAGTAATAGTAGTGCACACTTTGTAAATAATTGAACAGTGTTGAGGGAATTATTTGTTTAGCAGAGTGATGGCTTTCGGGAAAAAGCTGTTCTTGTGTCTAGTTGTTCTGGTGTGCAGTGCTCTATAGCGTCGTTTTGAGGGAAGGGGTTGAAACAGTTTATGTCCGGGATGTGAGGGGTCTGGAAATATTTTCACAGCCCTCTTTTTGACTCCTGCAGTATACAAGTCTTGTATACTAGATCAGAAATTAGAGTAATTTGGTATAAGAGTATTTCTTTGTGATGGTGTACATTTGGAAGATGATGGTGCAAGAAGGTAATGGATTGATTTTGAGTTTAGGAAGGAATTCTATGTTAGAAATACCAGTTAGAATAACTAGGCCAATGACAGCATTTTTCTGAAAAAGGTGGCATTTTTAGAGGATGTTTTAAGATTTGCTATGATCCATTTTTATATGAAAAAATTAGGAGATAAGAAATGAATATATACTTTAAAAATTAATTTTAAAAAAATGAAATATAAAGTAATACTTTGGAACAAAAACTGCTTTAGGAGTGAAGACTTGGTGTTCTTTAAGCTTGGATATTTTTTCTTACCCAATTAAATAACATCATCAGTATTTTAGCAGTTAACAGACCACAGCAGCACTGCTTGATAGATGGGAGTAGAAAGATCATGAAAAAGGATTGCATATCTGATAGGCAGAAATCTATCCAAGAAGCACTGTTTTTTACTTTTTGCTGTACAGATGTTCTACATACCTTAATCATCTGTGATACCTAATAGCCAATTTTAGTAGGTCCAAATTTCCTCTTCAATGTGCATAAAAGCAGGGAGAGAATCAAATCCCCCTTCCTCAAATCCCCTACAGAAGGATGGTGAGAGGCATTTCTAGCATGGTTTGGGTAGTGTTGGCAGACAGCTGGTGATTAAAGGGATATCACTAGGGCACAGAGGAATTGACGGTGTCTGTAGGAGAGGCTAAGGGGTGAGAAACAATGAGGGAGAAAAGAACGACGAAGGGAGGAAAAGAGGATAAGTAACTAATGTAGACTGGGCAGAAGAAACGGGGCTGGGAGTACCAGAATGGAACGAAAACTACTTGCCTTGGACTAGTATTGGAGCCCTTATTAAAGAGGATGATGTAGAAAATATTAACTGGGAACTGAGGGATTTTTTTAGCTCGAAGGAAACACCGCCAAGTTGAAGGTGGGGGTGGCTGCCTCGTGGATAATCAACATATTGGAGCAGAGGGGATTAGCACTGCTTGCAGCGGTTGGCGGGACCAGTGGGGGAGCGATTGTATTTGAGGAGGGGGGCACTTTCAGGAATGGGGAAGGGGTAAACGAGGCTTTTACCTGTGGGAGGAGGGGAGGCGCAGGTCTTTCGCTCTCCAGCTTCGGTGCTCTGCGTGCCAATCCTTATCCAAGGGAAGAGGCGCCCTATAGGGGGTGAGGAATGCCTCTTAACGGCCGATTAGTGAAACATATACGCGCCCACCACTCTTCTACCCACCCTTGACGATGACTTCCTCAGCTAGGCTTTTGCCGCCGCCTGAAGAAAAGTAAACCCGCAGCCGAAGCGCGTTCCCGAATGGCCCAATTCAGAATGGAAGAGTTGAGCTTGGAGCGGGGGGAAGGGAAGGACCAGTCGGGGGCGCGCCTGAGCACGCGGGCTGGGCAGAATGACGGCGCGAGGAAAACTAGCTGAGGAATTGGGAGCGAGTACGCGCGGCCGCGAGGAAACGAGGCTGCCGGAGGGCGGAGACAAAAGCACGAGTTTAAAGGGAAAGCGAGGTTGAGATAAGGCGGGAGAGAGAGGTCGGCTTAGGGCAAAGTGCGTAGCGCAGGGAAGGGGAGTGTGTGTGTGTGTGTGATTGAAACAGGTCAAAAGGGAAGGGGTGTGAGAGAAGAGTGATGCCGGTGTGGTTTTTGAAGGAAAGGCTTATTTTCGCAAACTCTGTATGCTGCTTTGGGTTAACAGCAAAGAAGAGTCCACGTTTAGGAGTCAAAAAAATAGTACGGCTAACTGTTGATCGTAATAAGAGCGGAGACGATCATTTAGCCCACGCGAAAAGGGCAGAAATGCTTGTCCTCCCCCCCCCCCGGGGACATGTGGAAGTAAAATTGGATCTTATGAGGCTGATCCATTAGCTTTCACCTGCGATTTTTTTCGTGCCCTAAAAAATGCAGGCAGAAATCGAGACTTCAACACAATAAAAGTAATGGAGAAGTGGGGAGGAGTCTGCCAAAATTACAAAACTTGCATATTATACTTTGCTCTCATTCCCAGATCCACAGCGTAAGCATGTTTTCCAGAACTATTTTTATATGATGTATGGCTCTTGTTTTATCCCCAACTCAGAGCTGAGAAAGCTTGAAATCATATTTAGTTGTTCATTCCTCTCTATAATGTATTTTGCTCTCCACTATGGTGCCATCAGTAATGTGGCTGATGAAATGATCAGGAAATCTGTGAAGGCTTGAGGTTTCTCTCTTTAGATCACTGGGCTCTTCCTTCCATAACCATTTTGATTTTAGTCTGTCAGAGAGACTGGAATGACTTCCATGCAATGCCTTTATGAAATGCTTGACAAGGTCGGCTAGGTTTATAATTCTTTTTTTTAAGCATTGATTTGGTGTTTTTTTTAAATTTAAAATTAAAGAAAATTGGATTTGGCCAATAAGATGTTGCTGTACTGTCATCAAAAAGCATATACCTTTTTTTTTTTTTTTTTTACAGAATTTCCACTGTTTTCGCTAACTTGGCCATACTTTTAATGGGCTACTTCTAAAGCCTTAGCTTCTCATTGTCAACTCTTCCACTATATAGCTAAATGCAAATGTAGAAGAAATGTTTGAATAAAGTGGCTGTAAATTTTGCCTATTTTCCTCCCTCCGCTTAATCACATATTGTCATGTTTAGTACACTTTCAAAACAGTACTGAACTTGTACTCAGAAACAGCCTGGCTCAGGACTGTTAAACTGGTGGCCCACAGGCTGGATGCATCACCTGCAGGCTCCGCAAAGGCAAAATAAGTCATGATATGTCACGTAACACAATCGAGTTTGACACCCTTGGCCTAGCTTATAAGTCATTGGTGAAAAGCAACAGTGGCGAGACTTATCTCCAGGGGGGATGAGTCTGCCTACCGAGATGAGGTGGACCGGTTGCTTTCGTGGTGTGGAGACAATAACTTGGTCCTCAACACCAATAAGACCAAGGAGCCTATAGTGGATTATAGAAGGAACAGATCAGATATCCAGCCCTTGCTTATCAATGGAGACCGAGTGGAGCAAGTGGCCAGTTTTAAGTTTCTGGGTGTTACCTGTTGTGAAGCGGCGGTTACAGAGTGAGACGGAGCCAGGCTAAAGCTAACAGACTTTATTCTATCGAATAAAGGGTCGCCGCGGCTGCCGGGGCTAATTGACAGCCAGCTGGCGGCGACAGCTGATGCCATTTGACAGCTCCCTTTTATAGCTGGCTGTCAAACGGCATCAACCAATGGGAGCGATCGGCGCTCCCACGTAGGCGGCGGACCAGAGAGAGGACTGCTGTTAGTCTCTGAACACAGCACTCCTTTCCCCTGGCCATGAGCATGCGTAGTCCTGCAGCCGGGCTGGCCGTTTTCGCTCACGGCCTGATCTTCGCAGTTCCTGAGGCTTGCCGGCTGCCACCGAGTCCTGCTCTCCCCGGGCGGCGTCTGGAGCTTGCAGAGGGTCGTCGGATGTCTGAGTCCTGGTGTCCGGCTGCTGCTTGGGTGAGTCCTCTCGATCGGCTCGCGGCGGCTGGTAGGCTGGGTTGTCGGGCAGCTGGTAGACCAGGGCCTCTGGTGGGTCGGCTGCGGCAGGCGGCTGGTAGACTGGGTTGTCCGGCGGCTGGTAGACCGGGATTTCGGCGGCAGGCTTCTTCCAGCATCTCCTTAGCTGATCTATGTGTCTTCTCCAAACTCGACCATCCTCCAAGAGGATCCTGTAGGACTTGGGTCCTGTAATAGAGACTATTTGCCCTGGCAGCCATAAGGGATGCCCTGCATAGTTCCTGGCATAAATCAGGTCTTGCAGGGCGAATTCCCTGGCATGGCTGTCAGAAGCCAGTGGTGTGCTAGGAGCATAGTGGGGGTGCAACCTGTCCAGGGTGGTCCTGAGGCATCTGCCCATCAAAAGTTCTGCAGGGGTCTTGTTGGTAGTGGGGCACGGAGTAGCGTGTTGAGTGAGCAAGTAAGTGGACAGTTTGGAGTGCCAGTCTGCTTGGCCAAGCCTGGCCAAAACTTCCTTCACAGACCTAACAGCCCTCTCAGCCATCCCATTGCTTGCAGGGTGAAAGGGGGCAGTGAGGGCGTGTCTGATGCCCAGGTTGGCTGCGAAGATTGCGAACTCATTGGAACTGAATTGGGGGCCATTATCTGAAACCAAGGTGTCAGGGAGCCCATGTGTAGCAAACAGTCTGGTCAAGGCCCTTGTGACAGCCAGTGTTGTGGTGGAGGGGAGCAAAGCCACATCAGTCCATTTGGAGAATGAGTCTACTACAACCAAAAAGGTCCTCCCCTGCACAGGGCCAGCCAGGTCGATATGCAGCCTGGACCAAGGGGCCCCAGCATCTTCCCATCTGGTTGGGGCAGCTGTTGGTGGGGCTGCTCTAGTTGCCTGGCAGGGCTGGCATGTGCTTACCCAGTTGGCAATCCCGGCATCCAATCCTGGCCACCATACGTAGCTGCGGGCCAAGGCCTTCATCCTTACGATGCCAGGGTGACCCTCGTGCAGTGCCTTTAAAACTTTAAAACTGGTCGTCTTTGCTGCATCCCGCCCTCGTCGCCAGTGTTGTGGAGCGGCGGTTACAGAGTGAGACGGAGCCAGGCTAAAGCTAACAGACTTTATTCTATCGAATAAAGGGTCGCCGTGGCTGCCGGGGCTAATTGACAGCCAGCTGGCGGCGACAGCTGATGCCGTTTGACAGCTCCCTTTTATAGCCGGCTGTCAAACGGCATCAACCAATGGGAGCGATCGGCGCTCCCACGTAGGCGGCGGACCAGAGAGAGGACTGCTGTTAGTCTCTGAACACAGCACTACCCTAAAAAAGGACCTGACCTGGGGTGCCCACATTGCAGCCCTGGTCAAAAGGGCCCAGCAGAGATTATACTACCTGAAACTTCTCAGAAAACAACAACTGAATGAAAAACTGCTGGTGACCTTCTACCGCTGCACCATGGAGAACATTTTAACATACTGCAACTCTGTATGGTTTGCCAATTGCACAGTATCAGATAGGAAAGCACTCCAGAGGGTTAATGTCATTGCCCAGAAGATTATTGGTTGCCCTCTCCCCTCTTTGAAAGAGCTTTATAGCTCCCGCTGCCTTAAAGTTCAAAACATTCTCAAAGATCCATCTCATCCAGGGAACCCTTTTTTTGAACTATTACCATCTGGCAGATGGTACAGAATAATAAAAACGACAAATAAGCTGAAAAACAGCTTCTATCCCAGAGCAGTAGCTCTTTTGAATTCTGCTGTATAGTGCAGTGTTGGTGTGGTGTCAGGGGTTTTCGGTTCAATGTGTGAAGGGTGAACCATGTGTGTTTGTGTTTATTTTCATGGTCATGGTCATGATGTGCACTGAAGATGGTGTTTGATTTCGTTGTACAAGGTGCAGTGACAATAAACTAAACTAAACTAATTTGTTAGGCAACTTGAGAGGTGACTAAACCTGCTATTTGAGGCACTAGGACAGTGATGACGAACCTTTTCGGCACCGAGTGCCCAAACTGCAATCCAAAACCCACTTATTTATTGTGAAGAGTCAACACACAGGGGTGGGATCCAACTGGTGTTACAACCAGTTCGGTGAGCATGTTTTGTGTGTGGCCGTGCGCTGTGTACGTGGCCACGCCTGACATGCACTGTGCGTGCACAGCGTTTGCAAGAAATCATCAGCTGTGCCACCTGAACAGCTGACAAGTGCTGCATGAGCGTACACAGCATTTGAAAAATCCTCTTCTTTCCTGCTTTTTCAACCTCAGCTGTGCCACGCAAAGCAGCTGAGGTTAAAGCAGGAAATAAAGAACAGCCACACTAGGTACAAATAGTGGATTTCATTTTATTCAAATAACCACAAAAAGAAACCCCCTCTCCCCATTCAGGTGGGGTAAAGTGAGGACAGGGTTCTTGCTTAGATAACTCCCCTTTTCCATAAGAAGCAACATCTCATCTTTCTCTCCCTCTCTTTCTATCTCTTGTTCTCTTTCTCTCTTTTTCCCTCTTTCTTTCATCTCTTTTTCCCTCTTTCTCTTGTTCTCCCTCATTTTCCCTCTTTCTTTTATCTCCCTTTCTCTCTCTCTCTTTCTCCCTATATTACTAGACAAAATAATAACACAATTTATTCATATGTGTACAAGCAATTATACAACGTACTATATAAGTTATTGATCATCTGTCTGTGATCATACTTCATGTTAAGTCACAGATACATTATTTCTTACAATTTAAACATTTATTTCTTAAATATGGGCATGTTTACTCAGTTTGCTATCTGTCTGGTCCTTGTGTTTACAACATATTCTGAAATTAAAATAATATATTAAATACTGAAAATT